GGACCCTGCGGGGAGGGGGAGGGAGACAGCCCAGGGGAAGGAGACACGCGCAAAGCTGGCCGTCTGGTTTCAGATTCACAGACTTCTCCAAACTCAGCCACAAAACAGACAACCAGGTGGAAAAATGGGCAAAATCGCTAAATAAGTTTCTCTGAAGATACAGAGACAGCAATAAGCACATAAAAACATGTTTAGCCCGGCCGGCGTGGCTCAGTGGGTGAGTATCGGCCTATGATCCAGGAGGTCAGGGTTCGATTCCCGGTCAGGGCACATGCCTGGGTTGTGGGCTTGATCCCCAGTGTGGGGTGTGCAGGAGGCAGCTGATCGATCTCTCTCATCGATGTTTCTAACTCTCTATCCCTCTCCCTTCTTCTCTGTAAAAAATCAATAAAATATATTTAAAAATATATATATATATATTTTTAAATATATTTTATTGATTTTTTACAGAGAAGAAGGGAGAGGGATAGAGAGTTAGAAACATCGATGAGAGAGATCGATCAGCTGCCTCCTGCACGCCCCCCAGTGGGGATGTGCCCGCAACCAAGGTACATGCCCTTGACCGGAATCGAACCTGGGACCCTTCAGTCCGCAGGCCGACGCTCTATCCACTGAGCCAAACCGGTTCGGCAATAAATATATTTTTTAAAATGCTTAACACAAGTAGGGAAATGCAAACCAAAAACCTCAGGGAGGGGCCACTTCTCACCTGCTGATACTGCTCAAACACACACACAAACACATCTAACAATTCCAAGGGCTGTCGAGATGTACTCCATCCCCAGCAGGGGGCGTGCAGGAGGCAGCCGATCGGTGATTCTCTCTCATCATTGATGTTTCTATCTCCCTCTCCCTTCCTCTCTGAAATCAATAAAAATATTTCAAAAAAAAAACAACTCACCAGATACACACGTACATGGGTGCACTCACTTTACTGGACATAAATTACACTCGACAGCCAACTGAAGTCCACGTCATCTTCCAAAAGCTGGATTGAGATGAACGATTTGATGGAAAGACACGGACCAGAGTTTAACTAGACACGGCATCCCCTGACGAACTAGCCTCAGGATGCCCAGGAGTTCTGAGCGGCCGGCATCACTGCCCTGGCCGGGGGTTGGGGTGTCGTCCTGTACACCAAAGGTCGTGGGTTCGATCCCTCGTCAGGGATGTATGGGAGGCAACCATGGATGTTTCTCTCTCTCCCTTCCTCTCTCTAAAAATCAATAAAAACATATCCTCAGATAAAGATTAAAATATAAATAAACAAATAAATATATAAAAACCCCTAATATGCAAATAGACCGAACGACGGAACAACCAAGCGCGCTGTGGTCCCACCCGCAGCTGGTGCCGCCGCTCACACCCACTCGGCGCGTCAGTGGGGCGAGCAATGGCTGTTGGCCCTGATCGCCCGAGGACTTCTCCACCTCCCCCTGCTCCCGAGGGGCGATCAGGGCAGCTGCCACTCACACCCACTGCTGGCGTAGGCCCCAGTCGCTCTGCGCCATCAGCGGGTGCGAGCAGCGGCAGCAGGAGCAGGGCTGCCAGCAGACAGGGGACCGGGGCCTCGGTGGGAAGGGCCGGGCAGGGGTGTGGAGGATGGGCCAAGACCTGCCCCTGTGCCCACTGCAGCCTCATGGCCCACAGTTCCTTTCAAGGTGCACGAATTTGTGCACTGGGCCCCTAGTATAAATATATATGTGTATGTGTGTGTGTGTGTGTGTGTGTGTATCCCTAGCTGATTTGGCTCAGTGGATAGAGTGCTGGCCTGTGGACTGAAGGGTCCCAGGTTGGATTCCTCCCCGGCCCAGGTCCTGGTCAGCTCATGCACATCGATGTTTCTCTCTGTCTCTTCCTCTCTCTCCCTTTCTCTCTAAAAATCAATGGAAAAGTATCCTCGGTGAAAAACATACCTATACATAGACATACATATATATTTTTAAAAGAGTGTTTTTCCATAGCTGATTGACGAGTCTCCAAGTTTTCTGTAAACTCTCAGAGAAGCAGACCATGGGAGTGGAGTGTTCGGTCATACGCCCTGTGGGGGAGGGGCTGCTGTGCAGGTGGGCAGGTCGGAGCTGCAGGGAAGTGGGGAGCCGGGCTGACATGCCTCGGAAAGTGGCAGGAGGGAGAGGGGGGAGGTCTAGCCACGGCTGTCGCTGCTGCGGTCACGGGTGACACCGCTCACCCCCACTCGGACGCCGGCACCCGCCGCCTCGTTCAGTGTAACTGCCACCTGCGCTCCCTCCCTCCCGCAGACTCAAGCATCTTCCTACGCAATCATTCTTCTGTCCAGTGCTGCTAAAGTCCCTCTCGTGTCACTGGAAAGTCAAGCTGGGCCACCCAGAGGCACCGCCAAAGCGGGAAGTCTCAAGGGCAGGGCCGGCCGGAAGGGACTGAAGGCCTTCTTGCCACGGGAGCGCGCGGCCCTGGGGGTAGTAAGACACCCATCTGCTAAGACCCGGCAGTCCTCATCCTCATCCTCGGGGCGGGCCCAAGAGTCCTCTGAGCAAGCAGGGGCAGGGCCGTAACCCGTGCGTCTCTAAAATGTTCCCGTCATTCCAAGACCGATGTCCAACCACCACACTTTCCTGCGTGTTTGTGAAGCAGAAGCCCCTTTGTCGCTGGACTTCTCCCCGCAGCCTGGCCTCTGGGGGCTCGGATATTCTTAGAACCCGGAGGCGATGCCCGCCCGGCAGCGGTGAGTGGAGGCAGAGCAGAGCCGGCGGCCTGGCCGTGGGCTTTCATCCGGCACAGGCACCCCGGAGGCCGGCCCTGCCAGCAGGGAGGCGAGGCGATCCCACCCCGAAGCGTGCACCTGGCTCACCACCATCCAGAGGGCACCCGGCTCTTCCCGACAGGTTCCCTGCAGGAGACGTGGAGGGCGCCGCCCACAATGACGGCTTTCCCGCGACCTGCACAGCACAGAGCGAGCCGAGGCGCCGGCGTGGCAGTGACCCCGCGTTTCCCTCCCTCTCTGCTGGACCCCCCTTCTCCAGGTGAACCCCGATCACACTCTCAACCGTCCGCAGTTCTCTGTCGTAACTGCAGAGATTTCATCTCGGTGGTGGTGGAGGTTACCGCCTCTGTGCTCCTCTGTAAACAGATCGGCTGGCCCTGGCCGGTGGCTCAGTGGTTAGGACATTGGCTGCGCTCCAAAAGGTCTTGGGCTCAAATCCTGGTCAAGGGCACGTACCTGGGTTGCAGGTTTTTATTTTTTTTTATTTTTATTTTTTTTATTTTATTGATATGTTGCAGAGAGGAGGGGAGAGGGCTGGAGAGTTAGAAACATTGATGAGAGAGAAACATCGATCAGCTGCCTCCTGCACACTCCCCACTGGGGATGTGCTTGCAACCAAGGTACATGCCCTTGACCGGAATCAAACCTAGGACCTTTCAGTCTGCAGGCCGACGCTCTATCCAGTGAGCCAAAGGGTTGCAGGTTTGATCCCCAGCCCTAGTCGGGGTGTGTGTAGGAGGCAACCAATCAATGTGTGTCTCTTACATTAATGTTACTCTCTCTCTCCCCGCCTCCCTCCCACTCTCTCTAAAAATCAATGGAAAAAATATCCTCGGGTGAAGATTAACAAAGAAAAACAACCAGATGACCTGTCTGCTATTTAAAGGGCGAAGGCACTCGGGGGAGGAAAAAGTCCTTCAGCAAAAGGAAAAATCGCTTTGAGGTTTGAATAATTGCTGTAATTGATGGTTCGCACAGCACAGCGTCTAAGACGGGAGGCAAGCAGGAACTAGCAGTCCCTCCCGAGGCCCTGTGCTCCTGCCCGTAGACCAGGCTTCAGCGTTCCTCTCTCCCTGTAAACTACCGGCTGGGCAGCTGCACACCCACCTCTCCTGCCCGCCCTGCAGACGCCCTGCTCCCACCCCTGCTCCACGGCGGGTCCCTGAGGTCCCCCAGCACAGCCCACCCTGGGCCCCCTGCTGGACGCGGAGAGGGTTCCCCAGCCCCGCCCCCAAAGTGCCCGTCCACAGCGCAGAGCCATTTCTGAGTTCGGGCTGCACTGCTGGCCGCTGGGGAAACAACAGGCAAAGATGAGAGAACAAAGCCTGGCAGGACAGAGTGCGTGGGGTGTTCTCTGAGATGGGAAGCGAAAGCCGCTTCCTCCTGGGGTGGGAGGCCCAGCCTCCTATTCGCTGGATGCCAGGCAAACCAGCACCTCAGAAAAGGACCCCCGCATCCCACAACCAGGTCCCAGAAGGGGGCTCCTTCATTCAGGGCAGGACAAGGACGAATGAAGAATATGAAGGCTGGCCCGGCCGGCGTGGCTCAGTGGTTGAGAAACGACCTATGAACCAGGAGGTCATGGTTCAATTCCCAGTCAAGGGCACATGCCTGGGTTGCAGGCTCGATTCCCAGTGTGGGGCGTGCAGGAGGCAGCCGATCCATGATTCTCTCTCATCGTTGATGTTTCCATCTCTCTC